AAAACCACTAAAAAGAAGAGAAACAATGCCGCTTATGTGAGGCCGCGCATCCGCGAATGATTCTGAGCATCAGAGAGACTACAGGTGAACAAATGGAAAGACGAGTCCGGCGGCAGACATCAACGCATTCTTAGTTGCCTGTCCCCTCTGGGCGGGGCCCCTAGTGTGGGTGGGGCTGCTACGGCGAAAGACGGCATCAGCGCCGTTGTTTCTCGCTCAGGGCAGCGGAATTGATATAACCTATGCAATTATGGATACGGCCACCTTATACAAGTGGAGTCGAACTTCTCGTCCCAGTGGTAGATTGAGTCGAAAGTCCTGTCCCAAGCGATTAATGGATTATTAGGTGAGTCCTAGCGGGTTTTGCGACAGGGGACAGCATTGTTATATGTGAAATGGTGGTGCCAGCTGTACGATACCCCCATTACCCCCCTTCTCTAACCTACCTACCATGCCCCTAGATTTTCCCAACTCCCTGCCACTCTTTTCAGTTGTCCAAAAAATTTTTAAGAGAAAGAATGTGAAAATTGGGAAGGGTAAACAAATGAACCCTCTGTTGCGGTAGACCAATTTTACAGCACAGTAGAAGTAAATGAGAAACTTTCCGTCATCTGTTCCATTTCTTACAGACGTGAAAATACCGAAATTTCATTTTTTTTTCATTAACCTAATTCAGCGAGTGAAAGCTCTGACGAGAGGAAAGACAAAATCAGAGATGGTCATAGTGGAGAAGGAAAAAAATCTGATGGCTCAACATCGAAGCTCTAGCCTCGAAAAACCTTACGGAGAGGCTGTGGTGAGTCCGATTTCCTTGAGACTACCGATTACGGCTTTGCTGCTCTATGGTAGACTACCCACCTCAAATCATCTCGGTTGTTAGTTGCAGCCGCTAATTCATTGTTGCCCAGTGACAACGTTATCCTAACCAGATATCTGGAGCCGCCAAAACTATGTAAATGACTTAAGCCCGCACGGGGGTCAGGAAATCCAAGTTGCGACAATTTGGCGTTGCAAATGGCGTCGCGTGCGCGATGTTTGCACTGGACCGTAGTTGATTTTACACGAAGTGGCTACGAGAAGCTCGGTCAACTAGCTAGCAAATGGGGCCAGCGCATTTTGAAACTTCTGACTAGCACTCTCAGGTACTCCACCGTGGGTTCACCTCCTAACCAGCATGCCTTTACGGTCAGTTCGGAACGGTCAGTTCGGGGGAGGGGTACTTGCATTTTGCTAC